TAATCAAACTTTTTAGTTAAAAACAGCATCTGTTTTTAAGTTTTTACAATATTTTTATTTTAAGCCAAAGTATAAGCAATTTTAAAACAACATATTTTACATGTTCATACAATCATAACACTCATCTCAACAAAAAATTGCAACATATTTCAAACGGCATTAACAAATATGTGTAACGTAAAGTGTCAATACTCGTCGTGTTAAATAATCATGGGTAGTAAAGTAACAAATTGATTACTATTACCATTGATTATATAAACTAGTTTATATAATCAATGCTATTACTTATAATTTTTTTGTGGAAAATTCTGATATGGAGATACCAGAGAAATGCACCTCCCCCTATACCGGTTTTATATTTTTCTAAACGTTCTTGACTTTATTAGAAGATATAATCGATATGTCTAGAGAATGTAAATTAATGCTAAACTATTATTTWTTTATTTATTATAATCAATAAATAAATTATCATTATTAGCGCGCCATCTATAGTCGCTTCTTATAAACTTTTAAATGTTCAATTTCGTTACTAGATAGCACTGTCATATACTATATTCATTTTCAATTAATGTTCAGATTTCAAACCCCGTACAACCTCAATGCAAATTTCGACAAWTGACRATGTTATCCATTTATTATGACCGTCCAACTGTCTCAAGTTCATAAATTTTTAACTAAATTGTGAAAACTTRACTAATATATTTAATTTAATTATTAAAAATACATTCTATTTTGGTGATGGAAAAAATTTTGCACGTCTGTTAAATACTGAAGTTGGTTCATTAATTATTTATAATAATACGAAGTATGTTACGTGTATTCATTCTACTCAAAATACACACCTTCTTAAAACCAAAATTACAGAAATTTTGCTTCGGTTTTAACATAATGTTTATAATTCCGAATCTGCTCTATACAACACGAATAGTTAAATAAAAAATTATAGTGTTATTAGTTAATTAATTATTTTGCAATTATATTAGCCAACAAACATTATGTTGTATGTATTATGTATATAATGTACTAAGTCCCCAAAGGCGCAGGTATATGAA